CACACACACACACACACACACACACACACACACACACACACACACACACATGCACAAACACACACACACACACACATTACACACATACATACATACATATATATAGTTACATACCTGACATTGCGAACTCCCCACCAGAGGGAGTAGATATACTTCTCCAGCAACGCCCCATGCATTATTGTACCAATTGCTTCCTCATAAATTCCAAAATTGAAACTGAGATCCTCTGAGCCTGGCTGGCAACTATCTCTTGCGACTTTGAGTTCGGCATATGCATCTTTGGCCTGCTGCAAACAGTCCAGGTTTTTGACATTGCATTCTGGGGGTTTGCAGTGCTGACGCCAACAGGTATCGACCCGCTCCACACTCAACATGTACCACGCCGCACCTGCAATCTGCACCAGCAAAGCAAAACACAACACATGCACAAATGCAAAACAATGACGCCATCTCAGTCCACACTTCACAAAGATCGACTACAAAACAAGTGCAACATGTGTACCCATGTCACATGACCTTGCTGCCGTGCAGAGGGGTGCATAATACAAATCAAGGTAGATGAAGACACTGACCTAAGATATGCCTGAGGAGCAGATCTGAAACTTATTGCCTTATTCATGACGTTCTTTCATGGGGGCAATTTCCTCCTCTACCAGAACAAAGTGGCCTTGAGTGGAAGGAGACGACAGTGACAGATGGCTAGTGTACCCTTTCAGGTATGCATCTACAGGTCCATTCTGATGGCTCATCTTGCATTAGCGGCTTTGATAAAGCGGCTGCTTGGGACTTCGCTGTCATTCGTTATCCAAGTGCGACGACCTCCAACATCCCTTCCCATCAACCGGCTGGTGTGTCCCATCAACCGGCTGGTGTGTCCACTGGGCAATTGACCATATTTCAAAAAATATGCAACAAGGGCGTGACTTTCGAACTGCAGCAACAAATACTGAATTGTCCCATGCTTTCTCATGGGCATTTCTCAGCGACCCTTGCTAAGAGGTGAACCTGCTACATGCGCTCCCGCTAATGCCGCTATCCTACACATGTGACACATCTCTCCCAGTGGTTCCGACGATGGTCCCTATACCATCCGCATTCTTCTTTTCCCCCATGATGATATTGTCCTGCCCCAGCTTACTCATCTGCTGCTACTGCTGTTTCCACTGCTACTGTTACGATCCTGGTCATTCCCAAAGTGCAAATTCACAATGAAAGACAATGCCACCCAATTGCGAAAGAAATGAAAGCACTTGCAAAGAGATAGAGACCAGAG